AAAAAAGTGAAGGATAAATACATCTTATATTACATGTGGAAAGGACTACTAGTGATATTAAATAATATCAATTCTTTGTCGTCAAGTCTAATCTGTTGACAAGAAGTCAAGTGAGCCAATCAGGCACAGTTGGCATGCTCCAGATCCCATCAATTAAGCAATCTCACTTGATGATACTTCTTGGTCATAACACCTGCCTTCTGCAGAGCTATTCCGTTTCCTCCATCTTGTCTCCACCCTAGTTATGTTCAAGAGACCATTGAAAACCTGGTTCTTTTCCCAGGAATTGGGTTCAAGTGGGTGGTAAATTTGTATTTTAATGTCTGCTTTACTGGAGGGGAGTGGGAGTGTATGTGGATTTGTTTATTTTAATTGTATTACTTTTACTGTATGCTACCCAAAGTCATTTTACAATTGGGTAGCCTCCTAAATTTCTAAAATAAATATTAAAATGTTGAAGATACTGTTATGCCTAAAACTGCACACGCACACAATAATATATATGTACACACATAAAAGAATTCATATAGAGAAGATAAACATTTAAGATCTACCACATGGCTTGTCAGGTTCCAATTCCTCACAGAATTTCCAGAAATGATAGAAGTCTTCAGGCATCTTGAGCCGGTAACAGCTTTCAATTTCTTGGCGAATACAATCAGAGACATCTGCTTTGCCAGCTTGTACATTTTTTACTTCTTTAATGTTTTCAGTCTACCAGTAAACAGAAAATCAAGTAAGAAAAAACTCATACATTTATCATTTTAACACAACAAAAAGAAACCAAGAGTTGAATGTAATCTGGGGGCTAACTTCTCATTTGCAGCAGATAAAGCAGTGTACTAAGAAATAAGCAGCAAAGAGAATATATAATTCTCCATATTGTTTATGAGCAACTGTTTAGAGATTTAAACTAAGAAAAAAATATGCCAAGTTAAAGGAAGTTACACATTCTATCCTCATAAATCCCTGCTTTTAAGTAACATATGGTGAGACCAAGACACTTTGTATGAATGTATAACATATTTGTTATTGTATTGTATTCCAAGGACAGGAGGTGACATTAGAATGGTATTTTGAACTCTTGTCTCTCCCAGTAGTTGAAAGACACAAAACTTCCAGTTCTTTGACAGAGTGGGAATAGAGATGGGGACATATTACTGATACCTGCTTTTGTGCTTCTGCATGACGCCTCTGCTTTCTACCTCCAGCCATTCTGGTACCTGTTGTGGCCATTGCCATTGCTATATTCTGTCTTTTGCAATTATAACAGTTTCCAAGTTCTCCTTGGTGCTATGTCAATCAAGAATAGAAGAGGATAAGACAAGGTGCACATACTGCAATTTGGGTAGCTAGTAAATGTTAAAGATTACTGGTACAAAAACTAACAAAGCAGCAAGCAAAACATTCTAGCATTGCTCCTAAACTGTTAAGTTCATAATTTGATGTTTACTTTTAAGCTAGCACTTCTGAACTGAATGGGAACTTCCCAGAAAATATAGGGATATGTTGTGATTTTAGACATATGCTTGCTGAGGAATATGTCTGATATCTTGTATAGGAAAACAGTATTAAACCAATGTTTCTAACTACTGGTACTATTGTAATAATATGCTAGACATTTGGAGTGCTAGGTTCAAAATAATTATGTAAACAGCATTTTCCATTTTGATTCCTTCCAGATAAATTTATTCCAATTCTTACTATCCTAAGATAGCATAATCATAATGGTTAGAAACAAGTGTTTTGGTTAACATATCTGGAATGAATCAGATTAGCAAACCTGTTTTAAACAGACAAAAGTAAGCTGACAATGCCCTGAGAAGACATCTTTAATTACACTTTTGTACTTACTTTTCCAAGCCCCCCTGAACTCTGCAGAATTTATTTCAAAGCAAATACAAATTTCTATCAAAGCAAATACTTTACTACATCATTCATAAATCTCAACAGTAAGAGAGAAATACAGAGAGACTTGTTTGTACCACAAAAAATGGAAATGCAAACAAACTCTTAAAGAGCTGTTCTGTGGCCTTCTGACTATCCTTGCTAACAGAGGCAAGAGGAAAGAACAAGCTCAAAACCAACGGATTGGAAGTAGCTCTAAAGAGGAGAGCTGTATTAAGCCTGTTGTTGTAGCAAGTTCACTTGAAAAACTTTATGGCACCTTAGATGTTCATCTGAAGACTAGAGTAATCACAGGTGTGTGTGCCTATAGCAGTCATACATGTGTTCATCTTTAAGGCACCTGCAGACTTTGTGTTTTTTTTTATAGGAATCGAGGAAACTGGGTCAATAAAAGAGGAAATCGGTAGGATACACAGGATAATCTGAAGGAAGGCAAAACGTATCTGGAAACGAGGACTACTGAACCCAAGTTTCCTTACATTTTTATTACAACACGCAAAACACCCACCTTCCCTACACTATTTTACAGAGGCGAAAAAGGAGGGAGGAGAAAAACAGCATCTTATAAAAAGGAAAAGATTACAACGAGGTGGGGTAAAGAGACAATAAAATAGACAGGGAACAAAACAGGAGGCAACTATTAGAAATAAGAGTGAAAAACAGACAAATTAAAAATAAACAGCCAGGAAACTAGCAAGCTTCCTTACGACATCAAAACGAAGCCACGGTTCGTTCCAGTTCGCGCTTCTCGCTCTTTCTCACGGAAGCGGAACTAAATAGTAGAGTGGAAAACGATGAGCAGAGTCTCCTGTGCTACCGCCCGGGCTTCGCGGGAAAAAAGCGCCTCTGGCTGCAGGGCGGGGGAACTGCTGTCGGAGCTGTTTCCCCCCCCCCCTTCCCTCCTTCCCCCGCAAAAGGAGTTCAGCCGACCTCATCTCGAGTCATCTCTATTTTGAGAGTACGGAAGCTACTGTAGATAAAAGTGGTTTCTCTTCCGCTGCACCTTTAAAGACGCGGGTTGGATGAATTATAGAGTCAGTGGTTGTTATCGTAATAGAATTTCTAATGGGGCCAAAAGTGTATGTATGCACCTCCTTGTGAATTCAGTTTACTACTTTGCAACCAGACTTCTGTAAATTTATTTTAAACAATAAGAGAGATAGAATTCCAAGCATAGTTGGTATACAAGACTAAATATTGTTGGCCTGCTTTGTATTTCCCGCTCTATGGCTTTCTTTTGTCAAAATAAAATGGGAAGAAGGCAATAAAATATGCTAATTGATACAGACAAAATNTTAGAAATGTTTTTCAACTTTATATCCTGCTGAATGAAAAAAATCTTACAAAGGAAAACTCAGTAATACCCTGCTCATTGTTTTAAAGCAATAGCAGGAAGAACATCATTAAAGAATTATTTTTCTCCTTCAGGCCAAGGTGTTTCTTACCTGAAATATCCCATATGATATTGTGTTTTGCTGTCTCCAATAATAATTGTCTGAAATTCAGGAGGATCATAAAAAAATCTCCAATGAAGGTTGAAATTTATTTCTTTTGATTTATTAGTATTTATATGTTTTCCAGAAAGAATGTCATATGGTCCAACAAGCTGAAGTCCAATACTTGATTTGAGAGCATCTACAACATAAAAACTCTTATTGTTATATGGCAATTGTAAATATATATACAAAATATATATTTAAAATTATTTAAAAGGTGCTATTGTTTTTACTTATTTATCTGCTATCCTTTCTGCTTCTAGGGTTAATGGAAAGGTTGCATCTAACACTTTGGATTCACTTTCTCATTAAGCTCACAGAATAAAGTACTATTTGTTTATTCTATTCAGCTTATATGGCCGCCTATCTCACCACATTGACCCTGGACAGCTAACAACAATTAAATATAAAACAAAACCAACAATGAAAATAACATACATAACTAGCAGTCAAGGCAAAAACAAACCAAAATGTAATTAACATAACTACTTCTTGGTCATGTTACACAAAGGTTGGAGAAAATAAAGACTAACTCAAACAAAAATATTGGAACTCTGATCTACGCTACATGAAAAGTTCTGGGTTTGATTTAAGTTTCCTACAGCCCAGTTTTAAATACATAAAATTAAATACATTAAATATGCAAAAGTTATTGTTTTCATATAATGTATGCTTTATCTATCTATAATTCTATCTGTTCTCAAAGATTAGGGTCAAATCCTTAAAAAGCCAAAATTGCTCTCTATACAGAGAGCTATAGTTCAGCAAACTGGAAGAATTAAAAGACTGATAAAATAAAAATAATCCCAAAATGGCACTCCCCACAAGAACTGAACATGCTGATTTCCATGGGATGGTGATTATTAGAAAAAAACCAAAAAAGTGAAGGATAAATACATCTTATATTACATGTGGAAAGGACTACTAGTGATATTAAATAATATCAAATCATAGTTATCAACCATAGCATACTTCTAGCACATAGCATACTGAAAGACATTGCCTTATGGTTTCCCTCTATTCTTTGTCGTCAAGTCTAATCTGTTGACAAGAAGTCAAGTGAGCCAATCAGGCACAGTTGGCATGCTCCAGATCCCATCAATTAAGCAATCTCACTTGATGATACTTCTTGGTCATAACACCTGCCTTCTGCAGAGCTATTCCGTTTCCTCCATCTTGTCTCCACCCTAGTTATGTTCAAGAGACCATTGAAAACCTGGTTCTTTTCCCAGGAATTGGGTTCAAGTGGGTGGTAAATTTGTATTTTAATGTCTGCTTTACTGGAGGGGAGTGGGAGTGTATGTGGATTTGTTTATTTTAATTGTATTACTTTTACTGTATGCTACCCAAAGTCATTTTACAATTGGGTAGCCTCCTAAATTTCTAAAATAAATATTAAAATGTTGAAGATACTGTTATGCCTAAAACTGCACACGCACACAATAATATATATGTACACACATAAAAGAATTCATATAGAGAAGATAAACATTTAAGATCTACCACATGGCTTGTCAGGTTCCAATTCCTCACAGAATTTCCAGAAATGATAGAAGTCTTCAGGCATCTTGAGCCGGTAACAGCTTTCAATTTCTTGGCGAATACAATCAGAGACATCTGCTTTGCCAGCTTGTACATTTTTTACTTCTTTAATGTTTTCAGTCTACCAGTAAACAGAAAATCAAGTAAGAAAAAACTCATACATTTATCATTTTAACACAACAAAAAGAAACCAAGAGTTGAATGTAATCTGGGGGCTAACTTCTCATTTGCAGCAGATAAAGCAGTGTACTAAGAAATAAGCAGCAAAGAGAATATATAATTCTCCATATTGTTTATGAGCAACTGTTTAGAGATTTAAACTAAGAAAAAAATATGCCAAGTTAAAGGAAGTTACACATTCTATCCTCATAAATCCCTGCTTTTAAGTAACATATGGTGAGACCAAGACACTTTGTATGAATGTATAACATATTTGTTATTGTATTGTATTCCAAGGACAGGAGGTGACATTAGAATGGTATTTTGAACTCTTGTCTCTCCCAGTAGTTGAAAGACACAAAACTTCCAGTTCTTTGACAGAGTGGGAATAGAGATGGGGACATATTACTGATACCTGCTTTTGTGCTTCTGCATGACGCCTCTGCTTTCTACCTCCAGCCATTCTGGTACCTGTTGTGGCCATTGCCATTGCTATATTCTGTCTTTTGCGATTATAACAGTTTCCAAGTTCTCCTTGGTGCTATGTCAATCAAGAATAGAAGAGGATAAGACAAGGCGCACATACTACAATTTGGGTAGCTAGTAAATGTTAAAGATTACTGGTACAAAAANAGATAGATAGATAGATAGATAGATAGATAGATAGATAGATAGATAGATAGATAGATAGATAGATAGATAGATAGATAGATAGATAGATCTTGCCATCATGGGATCTTGCTTTAGAACATTTTTGCCAGATATTGGCATTTACTTTCAGATTCCAGAAAAATATGACCCAGAATGCACAGTGGGTCCACTCAATGGCTGCAGCATCCATTAAAGCTTGCTGCAAAAGAGGTAATAAAATCAGTTTGCGGTCCGGTGATGACCTCTTAATGAGCAACATGACCATTTGTGGGTTCATAGTTGAGAACTATATGCAGTCTTGTTGTTTTTTTTAACTTTTGCATTAGGTTCAACCACGTCAAGGTATTAAGGATGACACAGGTCTTAATGGCATCCGTCTTCACTGTGCACATGGTGAAATAATTGAGTCTCTTACTGGAGAGTGAGTATCTTTCAGATTTGTCTCTCTGTGTCACATTGTAGAGTTGGCAGAAATGTGTTATGCTACATGAACTGATGTGAGAAAAATAGGATAATTTTTGGTCATTGCATTTTTTGGTCTGTGCTGATATTATGAACCCAAAGAAAATAAGACAGAGAACGCAAGAATCACTGCCTTCCTCAACCTCCAATGTAAAACTGCTTGTCAGAAATGAGGCTGAGTTTGAGGGGCAAAAAAACCCACTGAATTTGTTCCTGGACCACAAGAACAGCTAGTTACACAGAAAGTTATGGTGCAGATTTATTTATCACACATTATGTACAGTGTTGCAGGACACTAAATGTTTTATGTAGTTTTATGTTATTATGCATAAAACTTCAGTATGATATATGATAAACACTTGCGGGAGCTAGATATATCCAGCCCTGTGATGGCGAACCTATGGAACACATGCCACAGGTGGCACATGGAACCATTTGTTAGGGCACACAAAGTGCTGCCCTGTCAGCTCCAGTGCGCATACGTGCGCTGACTTCGGACTTCATTTTTGGCTGCTTTTCACTCTCCGGAGGCTTCCCTGAAGCTTCCAGAGGGCAAAAAACAACCCAATGCGCAAATTGGAAGTTCGTCTCCGAACTTCCGGTTTGCATGTTGGGCCATTTTTCACCCTCTAGAGGCTTCAGGGAAGCCTCCTGAAGCCTCTGGAGGGCCTCTGTGGGGGGGNCCACTTCAGCTGACTGTTATCTGCAGTTCAGCGGTTCTAATCTCACCGGCTCAAGGTTGACTCAGCCTTCCATCCTGGGTGAAATGAGGGTGAAATGAGGAACCGGACTGTGGGGGCGATATGCTGACTCTGTAAACCGCTTAGAGAGGGCTGAAAGCCCTATGAAGCGGTATATAAGTCTAACTAGTATTGCTACTAATTTAAAATTCTTTAAAAGAATTTCAGTGAAATTCACATGGAATATGAATAGGCTGCCATTCCTCTGATTTCTCATGCCTTCACTGTAAAAAAAAAAAAAGCAAGGCTGCTAATTCTTCTCTCCTAGAAAAATTTGGCTTGGTCAATTTCTCTGTCCACAAATTTGCTGGAGGATTTAAGAAACCCATTTCTTCTCATCTGTGAATAAAACTTCAACAATTTACAATAATCTCAGGTGTGTGTTAGTTGATTTTCTCTTTAGATTTCACATCTGCATTCCTCACAGACAGACAGATAACTTGCAAAGAAGCATAAATAGAAATAAATGCTCAGCTCCTGTGAGTAGCTGATGGACTTGAATATGAAGAGTCAAAAAATGCTTACATCCACTGGAACCTGGGATTAATAATAGATCATCACAGTTACTAATAGCACTAGCATTTAGACTTATATACTGCTTCACAGCACTTTACAGCCCTCTCTCAGTGGTTTACAGAGTTAACATATTGGCCCCAACAATTTGAGTCCTTTTATCCACCTCAGAAGGATGGAAGTCTGAGTCAACCTTGAGCTTGGTGGGATTCAAACTGCCAAATTGCAGGCAGCCGGCAGTCAGCAGACATAGCCTGCAGTACTTCACTCTAACCACTGTGCCACTGAGTTTGCTTACTTTTGAATTTCCTGTGTTTTACAATAAAAATGCCCAGCTGATTTATTTTTTGATGCACCACTACAATAAATATATTATCTTGACTGGTTCCTTCTGAAGTTTCTGTTGTCCACGTCTGGATAAGCTTCTCAGGCTAATAATAATGTTTTCTTTTGCAGATGGGGTGCCTGGTCTGATATAAAGTATTGCAGAGGACAGTCAAAACTTGTAGCTTTCTCCCTAAGAGTGGAACGACCCCAGGGGCCATCAGATGATACAGCAGCCAACAATATTCAGTTCAAGTGTAGTAATAATGAAATATTGGTAGGCAATTCCCTCGAGTGGGGGAAATTTGGGAAATGGAGTCCCACCTGTGGTGCTGGAACCTATATATGTGGACTTCAGACAAAGATGGAGATAATACAACATATGGAGGATGACACTGCACTGAATGATGTGAGGTTTTTCTGCTGTAGGTAACTAGCAATAACACTTAGGCTTATATACTGCTTCATAGTGCTTTTACAGCCCTCTCTAAGCAGTTTATAGAGTCTGCATATATTTGGCCCCCAACAATCTGTTCTTACCTAGGCTTCCTTTATCTCCCTTGAAATATTGCCAATGACCTAATTGCCAATTAGCTTTAAAAGGCCAAACGGAGCACAGATTCAAAACAGAGCTTCAGAGTTCAAACTGACCAGAATGAACAAAGTTGCTTCCTGCAAAGGCTCAAGTGTCTTTGCTCCTCCTTTCTGTCTTATGGGAGGGGCCAATAATCTCCAATCCTTACTCCCGAGTCGCCCCTTTTATCTTAACTGTTATTGCCCTTTGGCAGCTCTGCGCATGTGCACACTGGGAACAGGCTTTCTCTGTTTCTCTGCCTCGCTGATGGCAGCCTCTGGAGGCAGCACATAACTCCCGGATGGCCCTGGCCCCCTCTGCCTCCAATGCAGAGCCCTC